TCTTTCCCATTTATTTTGCTGCTTTGGTGTCAGGCAACCAATCATATATAAGATAGGTTGGGACTCATCTCATAGCACAGAACGTGGAAGAGAAGCTGGATAAAGGTTGTTTTTTACTCCAATTGTAGTATTTTCCTCGATATAAGCAAGTAATTTTGGTGGTTAAACATAACCAAGCTTCTAGCCAGTGGCTGTATACTCTTCTAGTCCGTCTATATAGTTGTGTTGTGTAAACCTAATAAAACAGTGACTATAAACAAAAAGTAAGTGAAAACAAACTTCAGTAAGAATTCTGGTTGTACATGGACATGAATCTCGCAGGTCCAGGTCCTGCTGCTAATTTAGGCTTCAGTGAATTTTGTGTCTGTTTCAAACTTGAACCCTCGCAATTTGGTTCCTTCACAATAAAGACGTTTGAATGAAAACAGAAATGAATATGCAGTGTAGTTGAGTGCGAATATATATTCTTAGGAGACATGGTTGTGTTCACCTCTGCACTGTTTTACTCATACCCTCCTTAAAACAAATTCCAGTGAAGCAACCGAGACATGATCCCTGGCTGGCTTCCCACCTCTTAACGCTGCCATCAGGTTTTTGCTGGTTGGACCACACTGGTCGCTGAATACTTAAAATAATAATCTTGTTTTCATGTTCACAATATCAGACTCTTTCTGCAAACACTGAAAAGAATACAAAAGCCTCCTGATAGATTTCAGTGCACAATCTTTTTGACTTTACAACTGAGCTTTGGGTTGTAAAATGCAGTGTTTTTCTGTTCCTGCTTTAGTACACAAAATTGATTCACGAAACACTTTAACGCACCAAGGCATTTGATCTCATTGTTTCTACAATGCTCTTTTAAGTACTAGTGCAACCTCCGTTGTGTGCGAGTTCCCACTCCACCAAGGCAATCAGGGTGTTTACAATGAGTTGCTGATGCACTATGGCTGACCTGCAGGCAATTTCCGATGCCTAAATATCTGCTAAATGAAGTGAGACTGAACTGGGGCTGAACTCCAGCCCGCAGCAGATAAGAGTCTCTGGCAATGTGGAGAATATCAATTTACGTAAACTAAAAAGGAGTCCTTTTACAAAACAGTTAATTCTAAAAAAAAAAAATCTGCCACTGCTATGCTGTGAATTTAAACTAAACTGGAAGTGTCTGTGAGGATAATTTACTCCCAGTACACTCGGTGACGACTGCAATCATTCCTGCTTCTACCTTTGAGGCGGTTCTAAAGTTTAATGTCATCTCTTTACTTTAAAGTATTCTTTCATTCATAAACTGAATTATCAAAACAAATGTGAAACCCCTGAAAAACGACAGATTGAACACTTGCTCATTGAATTCCAGAGCTCATTTCTTCCACACTTAGATTTTTGTAAAAGCAGTGAGGCCTAATAAAACCTGACTACTGAGCTAAATCAGGTTTTCAAGTGGATTTTTCTGCTGCTGCGGCATAACTACTCTTTGTCCGGGCTGCTGTAATCATTTGAGGCCAAATAGAGGAACACGTCATCTGATATTAGGAGCATGTAGCACAGATGTCAGGAAGAAATTGTACCTTTGCCAAGCTACTGTACAATTGATCCAGCATGACTTGTTATTCTTCCCTTTTTATTGTAGGTTTGACAGGCGTTTTGTGCTAACTCACTCTGCCATTCTTTCCAGTCCCACTTAAAAAAGCTGAGAATAAAGTCAGTGAAGTCAGTTCAGATTCCACAGTGTGCATCTCCCAAGAAATGACACATCTGAGTGCAACTCTATAGCCGTGGTTATTCGTATGTTATCACTAGCCCAGATTATGCAAAACAACAAATTGTCTTACAATCAGTATGCAGATTAGAGATCTCCCAATTAAGTACGTTTTTGCCACAGTCCATCTAGGTCATCTAACATTTAGTAACTGGTCATACCATTTTTGTAGCTAATATAAACTTTACAAATTGTAAAGTAGCTGTTTGACCTGGTTTGGCGCCTCTTACCGTTTAATATTGTAACAAACGAGGAGGCGGGAATTTCCGTGTTGGCAGGGTTTAGCCAATAAAGGGCACCATGACAAAGTCTTCTGTGTGGCTTCATGACCTCAGCACAAATTTTTAATCAAATCAGAGTAAATTAGGACTTTCTCTCGAGATCAAAGTGGCACATAAAGCTGCAGTTTTTGTTGCCCATGACACATGTGTCTGCAGCTTTATAGCAAATACTGGCACATAAAGAGATGAATAAGAAGTACGCTGAACAGAAAATGATCCAAATTTACCACACATGTGACAGTGGACGTAAACAAAAGATTTTAAGAAAGTTCTTCGGTTATTTCACCACCTGTTGGTGTTGCTCTTGACAGTGCTATAGTTGTGTTTTTGTGTTTTCATATGGTTGGAGATTTTTGTAGGCTGATGAATTCCTATTTTTTTAAATATACATGTACATGTGAATTTTTCCTCTGTCTTGTTAGATTGCTTTGTGTTTCTTGTCTAGTGTCTCCTGTAAAGACATAGACTGTAAATAACATATTTACAATAGATGTATATATATATAATAAATTGACATAGCCACCGGGACATCACCCACTGGTTTGTGAAGCCTTAAGTTTGGAATTTGGTCATTTCCAACCTGGAGATCTTAAGGACAAAACAGATGACCACATGGTAGCAACCTGCCAATCACAAGGTAGCCCTGCCTCAAAACATACTTTGCTTTATTTTCTGTTGTACTATAAATGGGATCACAATTAAAAAATGAACATTGTGATGTATTAAAAAAGTCTTGAATGTAACGATTGAGAGAATAAATTTATCAGGTTCACTGAGGACAAATCAATAAGAAGTCGGGTCATTTTCTCATAGACTTCTGTACAATCTGACTTGTTTATTAAACCCAAGGACTCACACCCTGCTGACGGTTAGTAAGAATGCAGGTCTGAGTCACCTTTGTTTCACTTTCAGACACTATCCTTTATATGCATTCTATGTGAAAAGCCTTTCAGATGTCCTCGTTGCTCTGCTTTACGACAACAACACGCCGACCACTGCAAAACAAACTTTTTCATTTAATCGTTTCACATTAAAAACACACACTGTATGCTGCATCACAAAATGAGAAAACGCTGTCCTGCGATAACAATTGAAGCCAAAGAAGAGAGAAGAAACATCCAGTGTTGTTTGCCGCATGTTCGTCTGACGCCGCCGCGGGTCGGCTGAGGACTGTGTTCGTCTGAAGCCACAACATGAGATAGTACACAGAGACAGCAGGTTGAGCCACAGATGGGAAATTATAATTCAGACAGTCTCACGAAGCACTTGAATTCATTCCTACCTGTAATGTACATTACCATGATGACAGAGACCATGCTAGGATGATCATGGACTAGAAAACTCAGATACACTAAATCTTCCAAATAGTCTCACAAAAGCTTTTGGTGTAAAGCCGTATATATGTAATGGTTGTTTCTGAAGGTAAACCTGTACTGAAAAGGATGTCTGGTGCTCATAGCAAAATGTGTCCTTCGTTTTTAGCATGACATTTAACTACCCCAAATGTGCTACTGGCTGTTACATAACATACTCACCTACTGGCAGATTGAGTAAAAAACAAAACCAAAAAATAAATTTTAAAAAAGTGACAGATATGTCGTCCCTTCTGTACTTGGAGTTTATGTTTTACCAAAGTTACTTGAAATCCGCTCTGCTTCAGGCATGTCTGCGTGGTACCCGTTTTTATGAGGAAAAAAATCAGAATTATTTACACCATAACACTGCAGACCCTGTATCTTAAAAAAAACAAAAACCCCATCCTGGCTGAACTCTCCTCATGGTGCTTCTGTAATCATTTTAATTGTCATGAAAATTGTTTAGAATTGTCAAGCCTGGGGATTGATTTTAGCTAAAAATGAGGCCATACTTGATGAAAATTAATAGCTGTCCGAAATATCACCCTGGCATTCCCTTAATGAAATAATAGTTAAACAACATCCTGGTCGTATTTATTTACTGCAGAGTTTTGGACGAGGAAATTTGGTTTCTACCTCATTTTGCTGGGCTGCTCTGGTGAGCTGCAGCACCCAGAAACCAGTATGTTAGCCACATAAATCAACAGTAAGACATCCCTTTAAAGATGCCTGTAAATGTGAGCTTAGCACCGCAGGAGTCACGTAGCAAAACTCGCCTTCTAGTAAAGTGATTAAACTGAAACTGACAGGTGAATAAAATATGCAAAATGCGGGCGGTAAAATGTTCAGATTTCACTGTTTTCAGTAAACAAAGCAAAATATTCAGATGCCCCTCCCCCCCCCGCCCGACCCCCTTCTACCCCACGATAATTAACTAAGAAATGATAAATTGCTCAGAGTTGGATTGGTCACACCTGAACTATGATTTGAAACAACCATATGTTCAATCTGTACATTCGATTTCTCACACGGGCCCTCGTCGCGGGGCCCGTCCTGCAGATAGAGAGACAAATGGCACACATGTACAGTAAAGCAACACTGCAGTCCAGCGTATGCATCAGCAAAGAGAGCAAGATAGAGCGACGCATGCAGTTTGGACAGTTCAAAACCAATTTTTTTGTACAGTTCATTTGGCAGTGAGCGACATATGAATGTGTTTGTTTACATAGATATGCTGCACAGGGATGAGTCCCCTTTATTTATGGGTAGTTGACCCATCCAATCTCTGATTTTGTATGTGCATGTATGTGGAGACTTGGACCCCACTGCAGGTCTGGTGTAGCAGAGGCCACCCTCCCACAACAGTACAGTGTAGGGTGACAGAGAGCGCTGATAAGTCCAGCTGACAGCTCCTTAATCCCCATTAGTGCCTCGGATAGGAGGGTGTGACGGAGCGCAGAGCTGTCCTCAGACCAACCCCTGTTCTTGTCCGTGTCTCCTCCCCTCCCCTGTTAAGGTCCTATAGGATGCCGTAACAAAGGATGTAGCGCCATCCGGTGGAGGCAGCCGCCGGATGTGTGTTGGCTCTGAGGGGAAGGGGGGAGGGCTTCAGCAGGCAATCTCCTCCAGAGTGCCCAACGTTGTCTGCAGGGGGACTGTCACGGTGTGGCTGATGGACTCGGAGTGGTTTGCCACTGGGTCGCAGGAACTCTGTAAAGGAAGATTGAAAGAGTCTTTAAGCAGCTATTACAGTGGCAGAGCAGGTGAACACTTTCAAGGCAGAGTACCTTGTATGGCTTTGTAGTTTCTCAGTAATCCAGGTCATGGTAATCTTAGGAGCTGAAAGCAACTGGACCGTTCTTTTCGATTTCTGCTGGACCACCTGGTTTCACGACCGTTCCACACTTGGAGACAGGTGAGTCGTTGGTCGTAAATGGGCCATTAGCCATGTGAGCTGGAGTGACTATAAACATCTGAAACTCCCAACCAGTCACTTAGATCTTATGATGCCTCTTGGATAACAGCGAAACATCTTCAAGACAACCCAACAGAGAAACCTAAAAGAGAAGTCCAGTTGCTTTCTACTGAAGCTCCAAGGAGAGTACCTTGTAACGTGTACTAAGTGGTACATGAACAAACACATTTCAAAAATACAAAACTTCAAGCTGAACTCCGCAAACTAAGTCATAGTATACAATCTATAGCAAAATGTCAAAGATTAAGCACTGTGGAACCTTACAGTGCTTTTTAAAAATTTTACAACTAACCATTTTGATCTACTATTTTAAAAAATACATGCCAAACAGTAGGAACAATGCAAAATTCATGACTAAGTTTGAAATCTTTTTTTCCAATGTCCACCTTTATTTTGAATTACACACTTGATCTTCCTCAGCATGGAGGATTCCTGAATTTCTGGAGAGATGTTCTACCATTCTTCAGAGACTATTTTCTTCAGCTGCTCTTTGCTGGAGGGCCTCTGTCGCTCTGTCTGTCTCTTCAAAATACCCCAAAGGTGCTCTACTGGATTCAAGTCAGGCAACACACTTGACCAGGTCGAAGTTTTTTACTTTTTCCTTCTTTAGAAATTCTCAAGTGGTTTTGGCAGTGTGCTTTGGATGGTTAACATGCTGGAATATTCTTTTTCTGCCAAGTTTCTGCAGACTGGGAGTTATCATGTCAGCCAGTATTTTGGTATATCCACAGGCATTTATGGTGCAGCAACACCTTTTGCAGTCATTTAGACCCTCTATCATCACATTTCCACCTCTGTGCTTCATGTGGTAGTCCTGGCCAGTTTCATTCCAGACACCCCATCTAAGCTGAACAAATTTCTCTTGGTCTCAATGGACCAAAGAATGTGCTCCCAGTAAAGTGCTCGAGTAAAGTTTCATCTTGCATTTTTTTTAAACTTGCATGTCATCCATAAAGGTTTGTCTTATGCAATATTCTTCATTCATGTCTGAGCTGTCACAAAAACTCTTGATTTCCAATGAGAAGCCCTGTACTAGGTCTGAAGCTGCTGCCATCTGTTTCTCACAGCTGTGTTATAGAAATAATGCACTGTCTGTGGCGTTATGCAAGGGCACTGCAGCCCTGATTAGTGGTCCTATGGCTCCTTCTATACCTCCTGATTATTGCTGCAAGTTTATTTCCACTGATTTTTAGTTGATCTTCCTGTATCCTTTGTGAAGTCTCACAATCTAATTTTTTAATTCCTCTGGTAATTCTTCTCCACGTGGAGCCATGATGCAGACATGTAGCTGGACACAGTCCATAGGTCCAAAACTGAGAACATTCTGGTGTTACAGCTCATTTTATAACCCCGTTCCCATGCAATCATGTTGATTAGAAATCACAGATGTACTCAGTTTAGTTTAAGTGATCACAGGTTTATTCACTTTTGCTGCATTGAGTTTTTAATATATTCTTTCTAAAGTAGCTCTTTTTGATTATTCATAAAAGGAAATACTGCAATGTTTGTCTGAGAAATAATAAAATTATTTTGCATTTATACCCTTCTGAATCTTTATACTCTTTATGCTCTATTGCACATAAGGTGTCTGTATACTGTAATTATTACCAAATACTCTGCAGATGCCCTCATACACATTTGCTGCTGCAGATGCCTCTACCATCCCCAACCTCCTCCTTACACTGTCACTTTCATTTTAGTTGATTTAACTCAGATCTGATGTCCATGTACGTGTTTATTAACAGGCCATAAGTTCACACAGCAGAGTCCTTGTTGCTGCTTGAATTCATGGCGATTTCCCTGAAGGAGCAGAGCTTTTCCTGCCAAATTGGCATGTTACAGTGGGCCTGAACACGTTCTTAGTCTTGCTTGAGTGCTCGCTCTACATGCTCGTGCGGACGGTTAGAAATAGTGCAAGGTTTGATATGCATGATCAGAGAGAGTGAAATTATACTGAATTATACACGCTCCACTTACACAAGGCTTTCAGTGGAGAAAGGCTGACAAGTGAAGGGTTAAAGGCCACTCTTACCACATCCTCGCCATGACTCTCCTCCTCCTCCTCTCTGCTCAGTAAGTCCAGTAGTCTGTCTTTCACTACCTGCAAATCAGAAAGTCAGTCTGTTATATATATATATATATTTACAAAAAGATCCCCATGAGCTTTTCCTGCGACAAAGAAACAGTTGACGTCAAGTAAAAACACAACAAGGTGGCAAATGTGGCAACAAACTCCAACATTACAATCATTTCAGCATAAATGCTGTTAAAAGTTTCTTTGAAACTTCTTCAGTGACATGGATTCATATTTACAGCACTCCATTACAGTCATTAAAATGAAAAAAAAACTACTGTTCCAGCGCATTTCCAAAAGCTTAGGGGGAGGCGAAGTCTATTATGTGCTTATCAGAAGCTTGTGCAGCTAAAAGCAGCATGAGAAGCTCTAAAAGGACCGCAAAGCAGAGCAAAGGTAATGGAAAAGTACCATTACACAGTCCTTCATCTCAGTCACCTCTAAATAATTTTGGCTCTTTATCTGCTTTTTATATCAGCGACTTTGTTTCTGTTGTCAGCTTTCACGGTCAATGGTCTGGCACTTCACGGTAACACCAAAAACAAGAGTCATTAAAGTTTATTGGACTGCAAAAGCTATCTGTGGAGGAGTGATGTGTGGGAGTAATTAGACGTTTCAACAGGTATATGAGAGTAAAACTACCACTTGAGACTGACCTCATAAGCATAGTCAAACAGCTCTAAGATGGTGAGGATGCTGGCTCCGATGAACAAACCCATCTGACCACCGATGTCCCCTGAAAACAGATATAAGTACGGTCACACCAAGATAAGGAGAAAGAGAAAGCACAGAAATAGCTTTGCCTGGATCAGTCTTTATTATGCCAAGGAAAGGACTTTATTCTGATCAACTTGCAGCACAGGCAGAGAGGAAGACAATGTTTTAGACTGCAAAGAGGCGGTTTTAAAAATTGCAAAGGGTGTGTTGCTTCAGCTACCAGTGAGATGATAAAATATAACCTTGGAAGTCCAGTTGCAGTGATAGATCCATGAATTTAAAAGTGTATCCAATGGCAAAACACTGCACTGCAATTTGTAGCATGAAGACACAAGACAGCTGTGGAGACTCATTACATAGTCGATAATTGTACCTTTTGTTGCAACTGTCACCTTGTAATCACCAGCATTCATTACACAAAACAATCTACCAGGATGGTATAACCATACTTGATTGGCCAATGCATGCCTTGCTTGAAAACAGTGCATTATATCATGAAAAAAGTTCAGGTTTAACTTTTTCCCTTCTTCTACAACTTGTTTTATTCATTTATTTGTTTTTACTGGAGCCCTCTGCACCAGTAATGGTATCATTTATGAATGTGAATCTCTTGTACGAATGTGGGAGCTCATGTTAGTCTAAATAAGGTAAACAAAACTCAGCGCTTTGTTTAGACGCCAATTCATGGTTTCCACTTTATCGATGTGGACTTTCAAACTGGACAGCGGATGTAAACACAGTTCGAGTTGTACTTTGATAGATTTTGTAGGCAGACAGTCGCATTGATCCTCATATTAAAAGTCTAAAAACATCCGCAGCTTCTGTGGATGTTTCTAAAAGGCTGCGACTTTGCACTTTTTTACAGGATATAGCAGCTGGTTACAGAGTTGGCTGTAGCATTATGTCAATGTGATTATTCCTGAGGTTTGTTGAGCAACTTTGACGGAAAGCAAATCAAAGCACTTTCAAAGTTTGAAAGCTGTTACTTCAACTACATATATTCTTATGATGTATTTTAAAGGTGTGAATGATGGGAATCTACCTGTACAGTCTTTCCTCAGAACAAGCTTTTCTTTTTTCGAGTAGTATTTGTTTTCCTGGTACTGGATTGAATGGTGTACTTGCATTACCCACAGTCCAAAATTTACACGACATGTCGGCCTTAAATCTACTTACATAATTTCAGATAGAGAAATGACACCTATTTTGTGTATTGCTGCTTACTTATATATAGTGTTCCAAGAAACCTGGATTACAAATCACTTCTGGCTATTTTTGTGTTGCAAATTTGGCACATCGCTCCCAGAAGATCTCACGTAACATTACTGCTTGTCAATAGTTGATAAAGAAACAAAACCAAAACAGGTCCAGTGACCACTTTATGTTCAGTTAAAGTGTGTGTGTGTGTGTGTGTGAGGTAAATGCTGCACTTTTCATGTATTCATGCTGCTATATAACTGAAAGAACAAAGAAAATGCCTGATGTTATGGAATACCATTTCATTCTTGTCAACCTTTTGCTTTTTGGTTAATGTTTTGTCACATACTGTTAAAGCATCATCAGTAGGTTTGTTGACCATCTAATTAGGCAACTCAGGAACACAGCCTTGACAGATGATGAGGTTTGATAAACAAAGTGTCCTACTCTGCAAACCTACCCAGCAAACCTGCTACCTCGTAGGCTTTCTTCTGCTCGATGGTCTCGTAGTTCAGTGCCTCAAAGAACACATCCAGCACCAAGATGTTGTCTCTGCAAAAGGCCAAACAGGGCATTTGTCTAATCAATCCCACTTCAGATAATCACTTGGCAAGCAATACAGTCAACAACAGTCCATCCATTTCCAATAGAGCTGGGCGACTGGAGGAAACAGCAGCACTGTGTGGGAGGACAACATGCTTGTTGCAGTCAGTCGAAGATTCCAGTTATTTAGAATCTTATTTAAAAGGGCTATAGGAAACAATGTGGGCAGTGAAGAGGTTCAGCGGTTTGTCTTGCTGTTCGACAGGGAGAAAGGCTCTAAGCTGAAATCTATACAAGTCTTTTCAGTGTGGAGTTTGCATGTTTTTCTTTTTTCATGCGTTTCCCTGGACACTCAGCTCATTGGGTAGATTGGAAACTCAAAATTCAGACTGGTGGTTCATGAATATGGTAAAAAAAAAAAAAAAAAATTAGCATCTGAACACATGGTCAGGGACAACATTAAAACCACCTGCCTAATATTGTCTAGTTTTTACTCGTGGCACCAAAACATCTCTTACTGAACTCTACAGACCACTGAAGGTGTCCTGTGCTTTTAGGCACCAAGATGTAAGCAGCAGATACTTGAAGTCCTGGAAGCTGCGAGGTGGAGCCTCCATAGATTGGACTTGTTTTTCTCATGGATGCTTAATTAGATTGAGATCTTGGGAATTTGGGGGCCAACTGAACACCTTGAAGTCTTTGTCGTGTTCCTCAAACCATTCCTGAACACTGTTTGTAGTGGGGCATGGAGCACTATTCTGCTAAAAGAGGCCACTGCAATCAGGGAACACTGCTGCCATGAAGAGGTGTACGTGGTCTGCAGCACAACTTTAAAACCACTGACAGGTGAAGTGAATAACATTGATTATCTTGTTACACTGGCAGCTGTCACGGGATGAACTTTATTAGGAAGTCAGTTCTTGAAGTTAATGTATTTGGAAGCGGGAGAAATGAGCAAAGTAAGGATCGTATACAAGGGCCAAATTGTGATGGATGACTAGACGACCAAGGCAGAGCATCTCCACAACAACAGGTCCCGTGGGGTAGTCGCAGTATACAGGGGTTAGTCATTACCATCAAAGGTCCAAGGATGAGCAACTGGTGAACCCATGTCAGGGTCACAAGGCTTATGGATGTGCATGGAGAGTGACGACTGGCCTGTGTGGCACAATCAAGCCATATGCTGGCTATGGTACATGACTATCAGGACGTACAGAGTATCACAGTTTGCTGTGTCCAGTGCACCGCTGAAAGCTCCTACAATGGGTACGTGAGCATCAAAACTGGACCATGGAGCAATGGAAGAAGGTGCTCTGGTATGATAAATCATGTTTTCTTTTACATCATGTAGACCAGGGGAAAAGATGGCAACACAATGCACTATGGGAAGATGATGGGCTGGCTGAGGCAGTGTGATTATCTGGGCAATGTTATTCTGGGAAACTTTGGCTCCTGCGTCCATGTCGATATTACTTTGACACCTAAGTGTACACTGTTACAGAACACATTACCAATTAATTGTAATCGTATTCTTTGATGGCCTCTTTCTGCAGGATGAGTTTCTCTGCTAAACTGCAAACATTGTTCAGAAGCAGTGTGAAGAACATGACAAATAGTTCAAGGTGCTGTCTTGGCTTGACTTCTGTGGATTCCAGGCCTCAACTGCTTACAGTGTTTTTGGCTACAGGAGGCAACATCAGGCAAGTTGTTTGAATGTTGGGGCTGGTTCTTGTATGACTGGCCCCACATGTCAAGTTTTACCCAAAAACATTGAGAGAAAATTAAAACAAAAGTCCCCAAAGAACAAAATAATGAAGATTAAATTTGTGTATATGAATATTTCATGACTGAGCCTTACTGATTAGTACAATGGGTTTAATTAAAGCTATCATTGCAGAATTTAATTTGCAAATTTACGAGCAGATTCATTGTGCAGCATCTTCAGCAAACATGAAACCTCTACTCACGTGATGTACTTCTCCGACTTGTTGAACTTCTTCTGCAGGTAGCGGGCGGAGGTCTTGCTGGGGATTTTGACCATGGATAACTCTTTGTTGTAGCGGGTCGTGTTGCACGGCGTCCGGCACATGCAGTTACTGCTCTCAACGGCAGAAAGTTTGGCTTCACACAGACGTGGTGATGGAAAACGGAGGAGCGTAAATTTGGGAAGGAAGACGGAACGAGACGTGGGAGGATGGGATGAAGATGATGGACACAAGGGAAAACAATTTAGATGCAAAGTGACTCTTCTCCTTTCAATAATCCCAGAAAAATCCAGTTCAAAGGCTGTAAATGAAGCAAACAGACTCTGGCTGAATGGTGTTTTCTCAGAGTTTCATAAAGGACTGCATTATTGATTCGGGTGTGAAGGTTCTCCTGTGGTTATGAATATTCTATTGACAATGTGCACGTTTGACTAAAGGGCTTCACCTTAGTGACAATTCATATCCAACTGGCCAAAACAGCTCATCCCTTTTGTTTAAAGAACCTCTGCCCGGACTGAACTGGTGTAATAATAAAATGCAATAAAAAGAGTCAGGAGGAGGGTTATCTGCGCAAATCAAACAGCTGATATATTTGTTTAATATTGTATGAGAAACTTATCTCTCAGCTGAGATCCCTTATTATTATATACGTTATCACAAGTATAAGATATGATAAAACGCTAAATTTGTTAAAGTCAGCAGATACAAAGTTATCACTAAGTGACAGTGAGACAACATGAGATACTGTTGAGATGTTTTTAAATCAAAAATGATGTCAGAAATTAAATAAAAACTGAAAAATATGCTTCAATAGCAGAAAAATCAATTTAATTTTTTAAACAAGTCATTAAAAAACTTCCATTTAGCTGAGTGACAGAAACATCTCTGCATTTCAGTAATATTTGTCTCTTCTAGTGAGTCAGCTGCAGCTTTTTAAATGATGAGATGACTCTGGTTTATATCACTGCAAATTGATTTTTGGTTTGTTGACAGAACAAAGCATCATGAAAAAAAGTCACCTCGGAGTGAGAGAACGTGCACTAGTACAGATTTCTGACAATTTATACACTAAATGATCATTTCACGTATTTGAAATCCAATCAAAACATTTTAAAACTGATGTAGCATAGCTCACAACACAGATAATTACACTTTCATTGCCTTATTTTCCCATTGTTTTCCTCAACAAAGCCCAAACCTTACAAATCTGAAGTAACATGCTAGGCTGTGATGCTGATTCAACATACACATCTACATGTCCAGCTTTGGTAACTTCTTTTACTTTGTAGTATAGGAGTGCCAGTTAACCCTCTGAACTACAACAAGTTTCTGTTTTATTTTTATTTTAGTGCTTTTTTTTTTTGCTCCTGTCACATTTTGCCTTACTGTTTTTTACTTCAATATGAAGTCCTGCAACTCAATGGAAACAGCACAACCATGAAGGAGAGAGAACTCAGAAATATCTTCTGTGCAGTATAACACAATTATGATGCCATAAATCATCCTAAAAACACATAAAAAACTAAGGTGTTACCACTACTAAATGAAAAAAAATGATGAGTCAACACATTATAGATATTTAACAATTTAGATGTTTTCTTTGCCCTGCTACTTGTCTCCTATCTGCTCCTTGTAAACACAGCCTGCTGTTCATCCAAATGGTCTTTGAATTTTTGTCATGCGACTGTTGGTTGTAGCTGAGTCACTCATGACTTCACGGTTGAGCGGTAGAGTGCAGAATTTTTTGTTTTTCACAGGATTTCTTTAGAGCAAACAGTTTGAAATGAAACGCAGAATGACAAGACTGTTGAAATATCACAATTTTAAGCTTAGATTTGATTAAGCTCTCTGATGGAAGTCTGTTCAGTGTTTTTTTGGAACATTTTTGAGTGAGACATGTACAATTAAGTTATTTAGGTAAACAAATAAACTATCACAGTTTTAAGGTTAGAATTGTGGAATTTTCCTGCATCATCACGCATGATTTTGAACATTTTTTTTGTTGTTGTTACAGATTCTGGCTTCGATAAATGATGCAATTTTGGAGTTTCTTTTGTTTTTTGTTTTTTTCTAAAAAGAGAACATGCTTTTCAAATCCAACAATGAACAATAAAGCTGATAATATTCAAACTAATCTAGTATATAGGCCTGAAGCATCTTGTGCTCAGGATGTCAGATTTATATGTTGGGTATTTCTCTTCTTATTGTGACTAAAATCAGACATGCAAACACAAGGCTTTTTTATGCTTGTGTTTGTGAGTAATGGCTCCATTTATGCTGCGTCTCGGGTTGTGCGTGTGTTTACTCCACAAACGCTCTAATGACAGTACAAGTCAATGTCATTGTCAGTGTCACTGAGGGCAGAATTGTAAAGCAACAAACACAAACATGCCCTCGAGCCGCATCCCCGAAAACAGCCTTTACCCCGACAGAGACAAAGTCCTTATGCACAAATGCCAAGCTCTATCCGAGGCTCTGCTTTGGCAGCTTGACTCAGAGAAGAAGAAGAAGCAGAAAAAAAAAAAAAAAAGCACTGTATGATTTCGTGTGGAGCCCATGGCCTCCTCCACAACACCATCCCCTCCTGCAGCACTGATGGTGATGTTAAGTGACACGAGCTTTTCAAATATAGCTCCGTCGAAAGCGTCTTTCGGGTAAAGTCTCTGACGTTGTTTAAACAGATCTCACTTAATTTCACGAGAGGTTTTCCACCGAGCGCTTTCTCACCAACTTCAGATTTGAAGACTCCCACCCCGCTATGCTGGAAATGGAAAAGGAAAAGAAGAGGCTAATGTTATCAGGCTTATTTCTCAGTGAGACAGCTCTGTGGTGGACCTCCGGATCACAGAGCATGAAGCAGATATCCCCAGGGCGAACTAATAGCTGGCAGGACTACACAGTCACGTAACTGCAAGAGGAAATTCAATATGGATTCTCAGTGGTCTTTTATTTTTATTTAAATGAGGCGTTATTGGATACACGGGAGCAAGGCCTCATGCATCCAAATCATTGATTTCGTTGTCTAACCCTCTAACCCGTGTCCACGCACGCTTAAATCTAAAAGACCAAATTACCATTTCTTCCTGATAAGTTCCATATCTTAGAACTAGCTGAAAAGTGTGAATAAATATCTTTTTGACAGAGAGACGACTGATGTAACCACTTTTTTTTCGTGGCAGTTTTGGCAGCTTGGAAATAATTGTGTCTCTGTCTGGATGTGTAATTCTAATCCGCCCGTGTTTGTTCAAAAAGCAAATGACTAGATAAGAAAAAGTTGTTCACAGACAACAGATGTAGCTGTCTCCTATTAAAATAAAAATACTTTCAGTGCTGTTTCCAAAAAAACTTGAGTGACACAGTTATAGAGACAGAAAAACCCAATCAAACTTTGACGTGCGGAATCTCCTTTGGTGGTTCGAAGCAAATTGGCACTGGGAAGTTTAAACCCGAATTCATTTGCATGCGATGATCCAAGCTGCACGAGCGTGTGTGCACGGGTTGGGATTGTAAAAGCCTTACTGTTCCAAAAATGAAGCCAATTACAGGAAAGGAAAAGGAAAAGAATTGTCTGCACCGACACCGTCTTCAGCGTGCTTTTCGAGTACATGTTAATGACACTGGTGAGTTACACCGAATGCTCTTACGGTGTGGGAGTCTGCTGCCTTGATGCTGATTGCCTGAAAGTTTTGTTGCCCTTGGATACATTTTTTTTTTTTATTCTTTGCACCTCTTCGGCTTTCCAGAAATAGTTTTACTACTGGGTGGGAGAGGTGGAGGCTGAGCAGAGGGAAGAATGGTGTGGGAGGAGAGAAAGTGTTACTGATGCTGCTGCAACTCCTGCCGGCCAACAGCTGAAGGTGGTAAAGGTCACGCATTACTCACTGGGATTTTGCATCCCGTTGGTTTCTGTTTTCCTTGAATATGTGTTTTTATTTCACAAAAAAAAAGAAGATTATAATACAATTAATACTGGCTAAAAGTAGCTTTGCTTAATAGTTTTAAATATGCTATAACTTTTTAATTATCACGCTTAAAAATGAATTAATCCTGTGCTAGAGCGCTTTAATTATAAAGCACGACCCATTGCCACCGCTTAAGTTGCTAAATGAGTATAAAACCCTTGCAGTGCCAAAAACTAATTTTTTTTTTTCACACTCACTTCATGGAACCACAACTACATTTTCAAAATAAGACAACTCATCTCATTGAGACCCACCCTGAAAACACCCAGGGGTAATTAAAGCTGGATTTCTAGAGTTTAGCAGAAGTTTACAGCTGATTTACAGTCAGTTTGTTCGTATCACTACTGCGACACAATATGTGCTGAGTGCAGTATGATCAGCTGTATAATAATATATCATCTGGTGTCCTATCACTGTATTAACATTGTGGTCATATTAAATCATTCATCCAGTGCGGACAAGAGAGAAGAAGGTCTGCAGAGTAATGGTTGTGTTAGATGTGTGCTAAGACCTTTTCAGGCCTGAGGTGTGTAACACTGCTGCTTCATCAATCTGGTAAAGTGACGCCATTCTGTCAGTCTGACAGACAGAGGTCACTTTTGCGTTAATGTTCCTTACAAATGGTATTTATCAGCCATGTGAGATTGGACAGGAGATCAGGTGATGTATAATGTAATACACGAAAGACTAAATGGAAGAACAAGCTTATTAAACTGTCCAAATAAATAATAGATACTATGAAAAAAGAAATACTGTATTTTTTTTCTTTTATTAAATTGCTTATTACTTTGGTTTGACCATAAAATTACACATGTTTGATTGTATTTAAATCTGCAAAAAAATCAATTATTTTACAGATATTGACTGTAATATGAAAGTAAAAACTATATATGATGAACATGCTGACTGTAAAAGTAAAACACTTCACAAGCTTTTTAAAAAAGTGCCAACACGTCCAGTGAAATCCCACCTCTGGCCTCTGTCAGAGCTGTTGGACTCTTTTTGCCTAAATCTTTCCCTTTCTCCGCCATAACTACAGACCCATTTCCAAGTTCCCTTTTATATCAACAATTTTAGAAAAAAAAAATAGATATATTTTTTTCAAGCTGTTTTTCTTTGCACTCGAAAATTACATTTTTTGAAGTTTCGATCTGGGTTCATGGACCATTGAAGCTGTGCTGCTCAAGGTTACCAACGAGCTTTAAATGGCCGCTGGTGATGACGTGAGCCGAGTCCTCTTACTGCTGGACCTCAGCTCAGCCTTTGACTTGACCGACCACAGCATCCCGTAACACACTGAGGCAGACGGAGATGTTTGCTACAGCTTTAGAATTGTTTTCAGCATATCTGTCAAATGGGAGGTTTTAATAGGTTTCAAAGTGCAGCCTGCTGTTGCCACTCGTTCAGTGGTGGTGCTTTATACTAAAAGACGTTTCTGCAGACTTTAAAGTTTGCTAATGACTTGCATGTCTGCAGACCTCGTTTGTGCAGGGCAGTGGTTGTGCTGTCACAAACAAAAGCTTCCCTTATCATCTCATTCATCCACTTTAGGACTGTAGCTCCCTAAACTTGAATTTTCAGATATTTTATATTTGCATTTCCTCAAGAAACAAAACAGTTCTTTGTTGCAGTCACAGCTGCTGGGTTCATTGGAACTAAACTGCAGCATAAACAGTGACTAGAAACGTGCTACATTATTACATGCGCATGACTATCTTTTAAAGTGACATTTCCGACTGGTGCTGTGTTGAAAATGATGCAGAAATGTTACTAGGTCTAGCAATCAGAATTCAGATTCACACACAAAGCCAATGGTCTAGTTTGATTAAAAGAAAAGAAGTGCATGTCAAAAATGGGTTTCGTTTTCTCTATGGATGCCTAAACCTGGGCAGATATTCATAACCATCATGACTCTTCCTTTTTATGCTGACGACACACATGTGTACCTGCCTATTACATCCTCTGACCATGATATGCTGAATGTTCTGCCTTTGTGAAGTCATTATTTGAAGATTTTCTTCAGTTGAACTGGGTTTAAATCACCTCCAAAGTTGTACAGTCATGTTTTATTACCTTATAAATATTTAAAAATGCAATCAATCTTTACTTTTTAAGACATGAAAACCTTTTTAAACACTTTCATCTCATTTGCCGAGAATACTGCAACAGCCTTTTTACCTGCCTGAACCAAAAATCTATAGATTGACAGAACTCAGCTGCCAGGCTTCTTGTGATCACACCATTTCTGTCTTTGCTGCTTTACCCTGGCTCCCAGCACATTTAAAGGTAGATTTTCATATTTTATTGATCACTTCAGAGCCCTTCATGGCCTCTATTCCAGCAAAACCTCAGATTTTGTCAGCTGGACAGGCCCAACTCAATGCTTTTCCTGATTTTAGCTGAATTTAAATATCCTTTGAACCATCTTTTCTTGACTTTAATGTTTCTATCTTCACCAGCACTGTACTAGTTAATATACACAAAATGAAAAATCTTGTGATTGCAAGACTTTGCTCTTTTATTTTGCTGCCTTGTGAAACACTTTGTACCATTATTTGAAAAGCAAGCTATAAACAATGAATCTTTTTGTACTCTACATCTGTTTGCGCTTTCTCGGTGTAAGCTCCTGAATTTTGTAATTGCTTTCCCCCAATATCATCATTAAAAACATGTTTTTACTTGCTGGCTTACCAGCTTAGATGCCATTTCAATGTTTTTCTTGATATACAGTACTTGTGACTACCTTTGTCATTTACATATCATGATTTAAATGTTTTTGCTTTTGTTCTTGGCTTTTAATTTACTTTTTTAGTTTTAATTTTAAAAACAACAACAACAAAAAAAACGGCGGCAATTATGCTAACCTTTGAAAGTACTATCTAAATAAACTGACTGGACTTTCTTACGGTCCTCAAGATTAGAATCAAAAAACAGAAGATATGAAAACACCTTTTTATGATCCTGCCAGCTTGGAAAGGTGAAATAGTGACTTTTAAACACTTTCCAAAGAATTTAATTTAGATCAAAATCGCAGAATCAGCCTCATCTGACTTTCATGTGTCTCTCTTGAGTGTAAAATATCACAGAGAGGTGTTAGGGCAGGTTCATAGCGAGCTAAAAACAATAAAAGCCAGATTATGATGAGCCTATATTTAATAAAAGTGACAAAGTTAATATCAAATCTTGATCCTGATAGAATGAGCCACGGCTGCCAAAACCTTTAACATAGCTGTATAATTTACCTCAATGCAGGAACTATGACGCATTATCTTTGTGACTATTCATGCATTAAATTGAACTCTGCCGTCCCTGTCTGCTCTGATGCTGCTTATAGACTTGATGAGCCCTTCACACACAAGGGGAAATATTAAGATGACTCTTCTTGATAAATCACAAAGTTCAAAAAGTGACACTTTCTGCCATATATAATACATACTGAAACTTTGCGGCTTTATTAGCAGACCACTTGTGTGCCTGCAGAGCCTAGATTGTTGTTCTTACTACAGTGCTTGTGCATTCACAGCTGCAGATGCTCTTAACTTGAGCCGTCTCCAGTTTGAAATTCTCTCCACTGTTGCTCATCTTTAAAGAAGCTTTAGCATTAAAGCTCAGAGTCAACAGAAAAAAAAAAAAAGTAATCCTAATCCGTTTGGAAGGCAGTAATAATATGTAAAACAGCACACCGTGTATGTGCGTATTATATGGACCCATGTTTCTGAGTGTCTGTGCAGACTTACCGAGGGCAGGTTCAGCACAGTCTTTGTACTGCTCAGGTGTGCAGTAGGAAGCGTCACCTAGAAACAGGTTAAATAACACACATTAAAGAACATGCTGACCTCAAGTTTTAACATTTAATCCTGTAAGGCTGCAAATTGAAACACATCACATTTAGTTGACCTAAAAAAGAACTATCTGTATTTTACATTTCAACACCACATTTAGACAGTCCCAGAGACCTATTGTTCAGTCTCCCAGTGCTGTTGGATAGTACGGAGGTGTATAGGATCTGGCAATCAAGCTATGAACTCACATAACCTGTAAACTGATTTAAACGTATTCAGGACTTTTCTGACATGCATGTAGAGAAAACAGTCTGTCGCCTTTTGGAGCTGGTGGAGCCACAGTACGCCCTACGCTCTCAACACTACATTTCAGACAGCGTCCTATTGTTGCTTTACAACAAAGCTCCTGACCACCAACGCAACATGAAGAAACAGTGTGGCGTTAATGCATTGCAGTTGTCAAGCATATACTGTGCACTGGATTGATTAATTAATTACACAACCGTACTTGAAATGTGCATCATTCCTATTTTAAATTATATAGAAGAGTCTCTAAAATTGCCTCCATTACTTGTAAATTAACAAACCAACAGTTATTTTAAGTATTATGCCAATATTGCCAAATTACATTTATATTACTTTTTATATTTTTACTGAAAATCTGCTGTATTGTTTATACAGTATATTTTTTTCAGCTTTCTTAAATTACACACAAATTGACATAATTTTTTTTTACATAATTAAATGTAAAGCTTGTTATATGAAGGCCTTTTCCTGTTCTACTAATTTAACATTATTCCTCGTATTTCCAAATTTACATTTATGTGAACTTCTACGTTCACACTCTGGAAATTCTGGACAGAAATTAAGCAGACTTTTTTTTTCTTCTTTTGATTGTTTATAAATCAGAACAGTCCAGACATGCCTGGAGTCTTGTTTTATCACCACTCCTGCTATTGGAGCTCTTCATGCTCTTGTGGATGCTTGTATCTTTGTACTCTGGGAAATTCCTTACTGAGGGTATTAATTTATTGAAAAAAAAAACAAACAAAAAAAACCCCCTCCACCTTGCGATGCAGCCCACAAAGTGGTTCATAACCAGAGGCCAGTTTTAGTTTTCTGCCTGAGGAGCTCTGCACAATTATTTGTGAATAATTGGTTGTTTCTGTAATAAATCCGAATAAACTGAACAAAGGCTTTTCAAAAAGGTCTTTTAAAACTGTGACAGCAACAGTTTGGGACAAATGAATTTTTCTGCAAAAAATGAAGTTGAAATATCTGTAAGTATATATATTTTTTGCATTTTGTTGGAATGATGACATTTTACTTTATTTTTACAGTTTTATTGACAGTTTTTTTTTTTTTTTAACAGTGCATCTAAATTCTAAAAAAATATTTGTGAATAGTGTAATCTCTACAACATGTAGATGTTTACATGCTGTGGGACACATTCATCACATTCAATTTTAAGCTTGTTATGACTTTGTTGTTCATATCTGGATTTGAGTGGGAGACACATTGAAAAAAATGGGAAAAAATGATTCACTTACACTAAGATCATAATATGTTTTCTCTGTTAAATTTTAGACCTGAATTGAACAAATGAATAACTTATTTGTGGCTGCAGAACTTCAAAGTCTTTCTGCAGCAGCATTTGAAACTGAATCTGTATCTTAACCGCTAAAAAAAACACATTTAACTGATCCTGGGCTTTTTATTCTGGGCTTTGTTTACTCGCCCAAAAAGCGGCTTGTTGCATCAGACAGGAACAGGTTCTGAATGTTCTGGGACGTGATGGGTGGAACAGGTGCGGATGTTCTCTAATGTGGAGATGGAAGTGCTCTGGGGGTTTGCACAGATTCATTTTAGGATGATAAAGAGGGAGCATAATTGGATACCCAGACAGTATTGTGTGTCTTCAGTGAAATGTGTAAATAGAGTTAGGATTAATTTGCATTTAAAATATTTATTCCATTTCAGAAACCCTCCAGCACAGAGAGGTCCTCTATAGAGTGTGCAGGATGTGACTGATTCCATCCAAAATGGAAAGAGTGATTTCATAATAGACTCGGTGGGCACTGACAGTTTTTAGAGGAAAAGAACTAAAAATATGGCTGTTTTTTTTTAACTAATGCATGATATACCAACACTATGAAACATTACAAAGGAATTTAATCATATCAACTTATCTTTTCCAGTTTCCCTAATGTAAATATACAAGTTTTGTTTAGATCATTTCAGAAGTTAAAAACACAAGTTCCTACAAGTTGATGCATTTTGATTTTAAAGCATTTACTTAAATGACAGACAGCTGAATTAACTGTTCACTCAACTCATTAAATTAGGTTAAGAAGAAACAAAACTAGCATATCTTGCCAGGGCGCATCATTAAGGAGTTAAAACTCCTCAGAGATTCTTTTTTTTTGTAGATTAGGAAACCAGACATGATAGAAGCTTGCTGTGTCTTTAATACAAGTTAATTAAAGTCATGATTGTTTCTTTTGATAAAGTTTGTAATGAATTCAGTCGCTCCGCCTGTAAACGTCTAACTTATCTCATTGTAACCAGAAAAAAAGCTTCGCAGATGTTTTTTTTGTGCTGACTGGAAATGATCAGAAATGGCTTCAACAGCGGAGAAATAAAGAAAGAACTCTTCAGACGAAGAAAATGTAAAGGGAAAACAAGTCTGTCTGCAACCATTGTCTTAACTCAGCCACTTTTACACTTTGACAACTCATTAGATGACTTCTGCGTAATTAATCAACTGAAGTGCAGTAGATTCACAATTCTAAGGCAGGAAGAGAACATTTCTAAGCTAAATGAACCTGAAATGCTTTACTGTGCATGTTCGTGAGGCTACATAGGCAATCAACCAAATTAGTCCAATGAGGCCTTGGTTGTTCTGACTTATAAACAGGTAGCTGCATAAAACAATCTGCGCAGCACCTTTTTTCCTGCCAGACACATAATCCCGGGGATTTTCTAAATACCAACACCTAATCCAATATTGACTTGTCATATCAATATGAAGCCTCTCAGAGCTGTTCAATCTCATGTGAAATACTGCAACCTTGCTTAAAAACGCTGTTTGTGAATGCATGCTCGATACACTGCTCCATCTAATATCTGAGCGGTCAGTCAGAACAGCTCACCGGGCATGTGCACCATCCTGCAGTTGCAGTTCTCCACGATGTAACGCGTCTCACAGTCGATCCGGCAGGCGGTGACGCTGTAGGCCTGAAAGAAGCCCGACTCCAGAGCTTTGGACTCGCACTCTCCCCACGGGGGAGGCAGGTAGGTCAGCTGCAAGTGAGAAAGGAAGTGGGGGTTAGTCAGGCCTGGGGGAAGGAAAAAAGTGTGCTTGGAAAGTTTTTAAATGTTAATACCACACAGATGATACCTTCCTCACATTGACACCAGTGAAAGAACTGCAGGAACAAATCGGAACAGTACTTATTGAATAAAATCCCTCACTGGTCATTGAATAAACCCATAAAAAACTAATCTCTGCGAATCAAAATTACATATTTACTATGTATGTATGTATGTATGTATGTATTTATTTATTTATTAACCATGAAAATAAACCCTACCGACCTTAAAATGGCTTCGATGTGACTCCACATCATTGCTTTCCCTATGATCTATGCAGATCTGTGAAGTCCCTATCTCTCTCCCGACTTGTGACAGCTCAAGCACACCAGCTCACCAATGATTCAGACTCTACACCACACAATGGCAAGTTGTAATATTTTACTTATTCAGCAAGAAACTGATTCTAAAGAAAAATAATGCTACAAAAAGTTCCACTCTGTAAGCTGACAGGATCGGTCCCTTAGTTCTGTTACATATGAAACACCAGAAGTCTGAATTTGTGTTTGTAGACTAAAATCAGTGCACTTTAAGATGGAAATGCTCAGTTATGGTGTTCACTGCTAAGTTCAGACAAGATGTGTCTTCCAGCATATAAAAAACACCAAATATACATTTTAACAAGGAAAAAAAACAGATTTTTGTCAGAGGACGTCTCTAAGTGCATGACCTTATTGACATTTTTGCTGCATTTATGGGGTTGACTACTTAGTTAAGACTAGATGTGTCTTCCAGCATATGAAAAAGACGGCTGTGGCTCAAGTGGTAGAGCGAGACGATCAATGATCGGAAGGTCGGCGGTTCGATTCCCTGTAACCTGTGTCATGGTCATTGTGTCCTTGGGCAAGGTGCCTGGTGTGAATGCGTATGAATGGATTGTTTGAGGTGGTGGTTGGAGGAGCCGTAGGCGCAGAGTGGCAGCCATTACCACCAGTAATTGACACTGTAAAGCGTCTTGACTGCATTTTTTTGCCATTGCGTTTCCCAGCTTTTTAATATTGGTGTTGATTTCACAAACTAAGAATTAACAACATTCACTGACAACCTTTTTTTTTTTTTTTTTTACCAAACTTAAACTCTATAAAGGGTATGTGCTTCAGGAGAAAGCAACTCAGCCTCTCTTATTGTTTCTTGAAACGGTTGCACCTCTGATCCAAGAGGCTTCCTCAGTTCAGGGAGCCTCTTGGATCACAGGTGTAACGTTTCCAAAGAACCGAAAAGAAAAGCCAAGCTGCCTCCTAATGCAGCACTAAGGGTTACCGTGACCTGGATGACTGAACATCTGCACAGCGATGAATAAACAATGAATGAAGTAATATTTCATGATCGTAAGCATCGCCAACACGTAAACACTCGAGGATAATATTCCAGAGAGACAAATGAAGTCATCACTATTTTGATGTAAATTGCTTTTTGAGGAGCTGCAGCATCTGTACAATCACACACTGCAGCTCACGATGAAAGTTTCCTCCACCGCTGAAGATTTATCAGTTTGACCTGTTGCACTGCTGTTAATTAACAGGCTCCTTACATTCAGTAAGTCAGGCTGTAGAGTGAGTTGAAAGTCAACTGATTAAAGAGCTAAAGTCATCCACAAAGTACAATGAAAAGCAGCAACAAACCAGCTGAGACAAACTACGAATCTGCAGGCAGCAGCTGACATTTATAAAAAGGTTAATGTGATCTGATGATGTAACCCAGGTGACGTGATGACACAGAGTTCATGTTGCTGTCAGAAGGAATGAGTCAGTTCCTGGATTAATGATGGCACTCCGTCTAATGTTGGTTAAGCGTAGAAATGTTTTTCCAACCATTTCGCATCTCTGGTCAAACTGAACCCAGACAGTAAACAGCGCTTCAGTGGAAAAAGTGAATGAATCATGTGCTGAATGAGCCGCTGCTCTTTGGTGGAGAGAACAGGTGGTTGCAGTAAAAGCTAATGCTAATGCTAGGTGAGCAGGACAAACAGAGAGTGGTTTAGAAATTCTAACTAGATTTACTGAGTCCATCTGTTGCATCACTGCAGAGGAAAGAGACACTGAGCATTGCGCATGTAACCATGGTAACCCTATATAAATTTGGCAAAAACCTAAGAATTAATAATCCAAAAGTGAGGCTCAAATGTCACTGATAAAAAAAAACTACACTCAAGTATTTTTAGCTTTTGTTGACAAAAACTATATATATATATATAAAAAAAAACTAAAAATGGACTAAAACATTTCTGTCTAAAGACTGAAACGAAATCAACACCAAGTGCCAAAAATAACTTTTTTTTAAACTATCATAATAAATCATTTAACAAAACCTGGTTACAAATGAGCAGCAGAAAATCCCAGATGGATCATTTAATTAAAAAAAAAAATACATTTAACATAAAAAGCTTTAAAATGTTTGTAGGAGAAATGCTTGCTGCAGTCTCCTGCACTAGAATCCACCGTCACACCTCGTCCTGCAGCTTGCATAAAAAAAGTTATCAGTCATTTCTGTCTCCAGCATAAAAGAAAAAAATATTCAAGACCTTTCTAAATTACATTTAAAACTTTTTAAGGCAGAACTTTTGCAGACCTGCAGATAAACTGTGGATGGATAGTGACAGCAGGTCTTGAACAGGCATCCCTCCCTCCCTGAAACGTAGCCAGTGCACAGCAAACCAGGCGGCGTGGAGAACAATGCAACAGATAGCCAGAGTCTGTCGGAAAAAATCCCACAACACCCGGCTACGGCGGCACAAAAAAAAAAAAAAACAACTCCAAATGTTCTCCTCCAGCTCCTGCGGCTCTGAAGACCGGGACGACAGATGAGAAACGAGGGACACCGGGCCGAGCAGCGTGGAGGCCCATCTGCTCCCGAACACAGGCGCCGAGGTCTGGCCCCACACTGCATCCATCACCCACCACCCTCTGCTCCTTAGTTGCCTTCATTGTCATCGCGGCGCGTCCCTAACGGAGCGGATTCCTCTGCCAAAAGAGCAATTTCTTTTTTCTTTTCTTTTTTGGATGAGGCAAAATGCAACATCTTGCCAGGTGATATTTGGCCACGGCCTTGCTTGTTAGTACTGACAGAATTTGAAACTCTGCCCCCCTGTCGGGCGATGTTGTATCTCTGCTTCGCTTTGCAGCTCTGCAGACACAATCACTCCACTTTAGGACAATGAATCCAAACCGCAGTCGAAATATTACAGCGTCCAGAAGCTTCCTGCCACTTATAGCGTAACGTCTACCGTGGTAATGAAACATGTCCTGCAGCAAGCATAAACAATGAAAACCGACAGACCCTATTAATTTAGTTAGAGACTTACCAAAGGTCCTCCTCAGCAATCCTTAACCTTTAAGACCACCTTCACGGCCCGGATAATCTTTACTCTGGGCCTAATTAGACTCAGCTGAGGTTGATTCCAGATCTGATTATTTTCTCTGTAATCAGATGATCCAAGGTGCTCAATATCACTTTTCACCGTGCTGAGACCTGCTGACCTGATTATGGTCCATCTAATAAGAGCCGAGGCCTGTGCCCCACTCAGCATGTTATTAATCAATGTTCCCTTCCCCTGTTATAGCAGAGCGGTGCTTTAATTAGGCTCTACGACTCGGCCACCGAGGGAAGTTGTTATAAAAGTTGAGAACAGGGCGGGTTGAAATGAGGTCATTGCGTCTGGGCTGGTTGAGAAATGGAAATGTTTCTACCTCAAACACAAATCCCTGCATGGAAGCAGGTCCCAAATTTTAAAAAAAAATAGGGAAAAAATTGCTCTCATCTTTGTTATTTTTTATTTTTCTGATAACAACTGCAACACAAAGGCCCTGAGCTTGAATCAAAAGGCAGGAAAGGAATAATGGTTTAATGAAGACTTTTTTTTTTGTGCCATCCTTGGGAAGAATGACTTTCTCAACCTAGGGAACACTGTGCCCTTTCAGCTCCAGCTAAAAGCCCACAGAAGGGCAATTTCTGTGTCTGGAGAGCTTAAATTCAAAATTGGCTACCAGCGTGTGAGGACTCATTCAGCCCTTACTATAGCCTGTGTGTTTTGGGCCTTTAGCTCACTTGATTAAAGCCGCTTTGATCTTAGTCTAATATTATTAGCCAAAATGAGTTCATTTAAACTCTCTGTCAAAGTCATTTTCACAAGCAGACTGATTGGTATCCATTACAAAGATCCACTAATCACCCCCCCCCTCCTTTTTTTTATTTCTTTATTTTTATTTCTTTATTAATTTTTTTCACATGCTTCATCAGGCATCCTTCCAAAATCTTTGTCCCAGATACTCCAACCACTCATCGTTATCGGGAATGTTTTTGGACACATCTGAAAGCGTCCCGCAGGCTTCCAGAGAAGAAGCTTGAAGAGACAGGTGGGAACTTCTCGCAGTAGGAGGGTTTTTCCCAGACTCCCGACATAAAGAGCAGCTCTGCATTAATTAGCTGCAGCTAAATTTGCTGTGTTTCAAGCTGTGCAGGCTTGTGGAGAGGAGCTGTGTGTTCGCAGCAGGCAAGCGGAGGAGAGGTCTCGTCTCCGCCCTGCCAGTCACAGAACTGGGCTGACAGATGAGCTGAGACAGGAGCCCTGGAGGCTCATTACCCGAGAGACCCAACCATCTCTGGATAGATCTCCTCCACTCCTTCGAGCCGATATCGATCAGGTGACTCTTTGCATCGCTGCACTGCAACAAGCTGCTGAGGTTTAAACTGAATTTTATTGAAGAAAACTTCAGAAAAAATCAGACTTACTTACTCTATCCGTCTTCTACACTGTATTTGCAAGGACTTGAACTAAAAAGGTACAAAGTGAAACCAAAGACAATATGTTTACCTGTCTGTGCAGCGCTAAATCCAAACTAGTTTTATTAGTGATTACTGATGAGCATGAAATGCACTATAACATTTTTGGTCTATCTATCTATCTATCTATCTATCTATCTATCTATCTATCTATCTATCTATCTATCTATCTATCTATCTATTAGGGAGTAATAATTACTTTAAAAAGTTTATATGTGTTACCAAACCCGCTACAGTTAGGGTTAATTACAGAGTCAACATTATATGAATGTAGTATATTATTAGAAAGCAGTTATGGTATTAAATAGTAAACATCATATTCTAGTGTGCAGTACTGCATTTAGTTGTAGACGTTAACTGTTGAAGTGAATTACAATTGTAGCACTGTAAAAAAAAATACAGTATAGTGCCAGTATTTTGCTATAATTTCAGAGGAAAATGTGTTACAGTGTACTACAGTGTACATGCAGACATGCAAACGGCCAATCAGAAACTCAGCTACATGTCTTTATCACCAAAAATGTGTCTCTCCTGAGGAAACTGAAGCGGAGTCGACCAGGCTTCTATAATGTCTAAATAATTAGTCTACTGGTAAAACTCAGTTGTAACCCAGTTATTCAAAGACTCAATATGTTTATATTCACAAAGGATCACATGATGAACAAGTATGGCCATAGAGCCTTTATAAAACCAACGATTGGTTTGTTAGCGACCATTTTCAAGCCTCGAATTTTGAATTTTGCCATCTAGGTCTTTGTCAATCACAAGATCGCCCCGCCTTAAAACACACCTGTTTTATTGTCTATTTGACTCTAAATAGGACCATAATTTACAAAATGAACACCGAGCTGGAAATTAAAAAAAAAAAAAGCCTTCAAACTGTAGAATGACACAATGAACTCAGGAGGAAAATGTTTACTGAGGTAACAAATTAAGTAAGGAGTCGTCTCATTTTCTCATAGAAGTCTATATAATCTAACTTTACTATGTGATCAGAGGAGTCACTTGCTGCTTTCTGTTAGAAAGAACGCAGGTTCAAAGCGACCCAGAAACTTTTACATACAGTCTATGATTATAACTCAGCTCTTGAATTAATTGTTTTGGTTTTCTGGAACAACAGCTTGCTTTGGTTCATTTTCACTGCGTTCAGAGGTTTATATGACAGCATAGAAATAAAGCTAGCAACTGGCTGGTGAGCACAATTGAGCATTTAGCAGCTAAAGAGACATGTATTTAGTCGAGGCAGTCAAGTTTCACCGTGATGGCCAGAAACATTATTGGATGAACAACAATTTACTTAAAAAACAGTCCTTGGTGTGTACGCAGCTTGTTTCAATTGGCCGGCAGAGTCTGTTCTTGCACCCACTGTAGGCCACGTACTGTAAACACACTGACTGACAGCCAGCGGTTGCCAAGGGAAGGGAAATATCACTGATATGCCAGAGACAGGGGCCATTTTCAAAATGAGAGGGCAATAAATTTATCTTGACAGAAATCTGTCTGCTCAGAGAAGAGCAATACAGTCAAGTTCCACTTTTGAGCCAGACAATACCTTTCTAAAAGCCTGGCTTTCAGACAGGAGAGGAGACAGAAGGGAAAATAAAGAAACACAGACACAAATAGTGAAAAGGAAAGACAGAACAAATAACCTCACCGAACTGACAAAGCTGATAGGAGTCATCACGGAAAGACATTCAGCCTGGCAGGGCAGCAAAACCTTCTGTTGAGCTTATTTAACGCAAGTTGAAAGTGGAGGAAAGAGAGTCAGCCCAGAAACAACCGGACGAAGAACAGTAACAGAGAGGAGGCTTCCTAAATCATACACCATCAGCTGTATATCCTGTGTAAGTCCTGCAGCCGTTGGTATTGTCCTTGTGTGAACAAAGCTTCAGTATGATTGAGTGGGGCTGAGTTCGAGTGGACAACCTCTCTACCAGAAAGGTCAAAGCCAGATACAGACGGGGAAGTTCATCATCTGTCCGCCAACATTCAGCCAGAGAAGACAAAGGCCAGCTGAGGGTCCAGTGAGTAGGGGACACACAAAATCCCATCTGGGCAAATTATTTATCACAGGTTTTTTTTCACTTCTGAGTTGCTGAATGTGTGGATTAAAAGTGAAAACCAGCACAAGGACATGGAATGATAAAAAAAGAAGACGCTATTAACTATGCATTAGGAACACCTACCCTCTGCTCCTGTGTGGCTACAAAAGTCTGGAAGCCGGGGGCCACGCCAAAGCCCAGCTCGTGAACGAATGGGGGCTCCGCCTGGCTATGGATCTGCACCCGCACACCTGCCTCGAAGGCCGTATCCTCTGCAAAGAAGACAGACGGAGAGTTAGCTGAATTATTCAGTCAAGAAACAGAAATGTGCAAAAAAATAAAAAATAAATTAAATATTTTGTCTTTTTGACTGGTTCAGATAAACAGTTCAGGGGATAGAAGAGCAGAAAAAAAAACTGTTTACACTCACACAGAGAGTCAAAAACTGGATTCTGTGTTTGGAAAGAAAAAAATGCTTCAGCAAGGAATTCTGGGCCTTTTGGACTCAAAGCTGCAGGCTTTTAAGATTACCTTTGCTATAACACACACACTCTCAGAGAAGTTGCGTCCCATTTGTCGTGACATCAAACGCAGGAAGTTAAGAAGGCTCAGTGCTAACTCGGCAGATGAAAGAGCCTTTACTCGTCCATTCAGAGCCCTTGCATGCTCACGCGCAAGCAAGGACGAAAAGAGCCATAACATTTATAGGCAAAGTGAGAGCTGCTTTTTGCAGAAATCGATAACGCACTTCCCTCCAATGTCCTCACATTCAGCTGTGTGTGTGTGTGTGTGTGCTCCCCCCCGCTAACTCATCAGCCGGACACCTCGGGGTGCTCTGCAACCGAGACACTGGAGACTTTCGGAGCCACCAGCGTTACAAATCGACAGACTGCACACACAGACGCGTTGCAGCATCACTCCACTATGATACAGTCATCAATCAAACATCTGCTGTGACTGATATGGCGACAGCTTGGATGCATTCACATTATGGGATGGATGAAGGGAACAAACATGCTTTTTTTTTTTTGGCCATGTGTTTGAGAGAACATCTCTGTGAAAGAGGACAGTATGTGTGAGTATGAAAGAAACTGGCTGTCTGACAGAGATAATTAGCGTCCATGTTTCTGAGTTAATCGGAAATAGAGAAACAAGCGCATGCGTGTGCTGTGTTTTGAGCACGTGTGCCCATTTTCCCCTTAATGCCTCCATTCCATCCTTTGAAACATCATTTCATGTGTAATGACAGCCCTCTATGTGGCTGGCAGGTTTCACGTGCTCTACGTCTCATCCAATTTTGACTGGATTAGCGTCATTCACACAAAACATGCAACTGCAGCGCGACATCTGTGCACGTAGTTTACGCCATATGGCCGATATGTGGAGGCTCGAGCGCTGCACACATTTCTGGGATTTCATTGAGCTACAAGCACATTAGTGACAACGGGAGCTGATGTTGGTCTGGCTCTGGTTCTAACCAATAAAAGCAATGTCAAAATAAAAGTGAAGAGGAGAAGAAGGTCCCCTGTTTGCTCATTTGTGATCTGCTGACTTCATTTTTCTGCTATTAAACTTGAAAATGATCATGGTTTAACATGAAACTTACTCAAGAAGCCTCCCATGTGGATACACTGAGGTTGAGTCCCACTAGCTATAATACCATACAGTAAAGTATGCCAGAAAAAAAGATTTTGTATGCTATAAAACATAGTATGTCAAATGCAGTCTGCCAAAAACACCAGCACGTCCAACGATAACATGTCACATTTTGCAGTATGTAAGCGAACACAATCCTCTGACGGACAACCCTTTGCAGAGCAGAAGATATGTCACATACGTTACAGTGATTTGTATGAGTATACACAAGTTTATACAGATGACACCTCATTTCAAACTGCAGACTGTGATGGGCATATGAGTAATTGTCTGCATACTGCAGACAGCAGCACCTAATTTGCAAGGACAGTAACACTATGTACTGAGGATAAAAAGAAAACCTATGAGACTCGAAACACAGTGTGAGAATAGACTGTTCATAGAATGACTGAAGAAATGAAAATCTTTAACCTGGTAAGTTCACTTTTTACACATAGTCATTTGAAGCACAATACAGTTTTTCCATTTTCAACAGTTAATGTGAGATGTTGAAGAAAAGCGCATGATGTCCAGCTATATGGCTAAATCTCAATAGTTACTGCCCTACCAGAAGCCACGGCACTGTTTAATCTTGCAAAATTGGCCACTGATGTACATTAACATGGGCACTAAACAGTGCAAACACTAAATTGCATCCCTGAGCGTGAACAGTGACCTCTAGACCAACATGAAAATATGGCTATATTGGCTATTTTCTCGCAATAAAATAATATGTTGTTGTTGGCTGAAGCTGTGCGGCTCTCTAGTTTGTTTTAAAGGCAACCCCTGTGCAATATCATTTAAATGTCAAGTGATTCAAATTTCCTCACCTCTCTATAATTGAATGTTTTCTAATTTGAACAGTGAAGTATTCACTCTTATGAACTATCAAAAACAAATACTTATAATAAAGGACTATGTTGTAAACAGAGACCCTGAAGGGGAGACAAAAGCAAATACACCTGTGATTACAGACACATAAGTTAGATATCCTGTGATCATTAGCCCTTTGTTAACAAACCTGAGATTTACAGTCAGCTTAAGTGAATGAACATGGTTATAAAATGAGCTGTGAACAGCAGAACTTTCTCAGTTTCGGACCTATGGGCTGTGCATCATGGCTCCACATAGATAAGAATTGACAGAGGAACAGAAATATCTGAAAGATGGAAAAAAAAAATAGGTAAAGATCTAAAAATCAATTTAATCACAGTTACAGCCATAATCAAGAGATACAGAACGATCCATAGTAGCACGAATCAGAGCTGCAGTGGTTGTCCTAATGATGCCACAGAAAGTGATGCACTTACACAATCCAGCTCTGAAAAACAGACTGAAGTGTTTCTGACTTGGCACATGGGTTTCTGTGAGAGCTGAGACAGTGCAAAGGACAGAGCATAACATAACACATATCTATGGATGTCGTCCAAGAAAAAAAACATTCTTGCTTGCTCTTTGGTGCAAAAATTGCGAGATGAAACTTTGCTAAAGAACATGAAAAGAAGTCTGATGAAATTGGAAGCACATTCCTTGTTCAGATGAGGCCAAGATAAAGTAGTCCTGACGGCAAAGCACAGAGGTGTAAGTGTGATGATATGAAGCTGCACGAGTGCAAAAGGTGTCGGGGAGATGACATTTATAGAGGGAACCATGAATGTCTGTGGATAAAACAAAATACTGTCGACAAGATGACTCCCAGTCTGCAGACACTTGAAGAAGAGGAATATTCCAGCATGACAGTAATTCAAAGCACACTGCCAAAATCACACAAGAGTTTCTAAAAGAAGAACAAAGTGCAGACTATGACCTGGACAAGTATGTTGTCTGACTTGAATCCAATAGAACACCTCTGTGGTATTTTAAAGAGAAAAAAGTTGAGCAACACAAGCCCTCAATCAAAGGGCAGCTTTAAGAAATAGTCTCTGAAGAATAACAGAACATTTCTGTGAGAATTTGGTATCCTCTATGCTGAGGAGGATTGAGTCATCAAAACTAAAGGTGAACATACAAAGTACTGAAAAAACTAAAGCGTTAAATGTCAGTAATGAAAGATGGACTGACTTTGGTTGCATTGAGTTCTTGCTGTGGGCACTGTGATGAACACATAACCTGCTGTTCTGCTTTGAAGCAATTACTGGTGCAATTACAGACACATGGTAACTGAGCAGCATCATTTCTTTGTTGATTTTGGTCTTGTCGAGGCATGTGGTGATAATAACAAAAAATACAAAATAAGAAAAATTCTGACCTTTAACATAACAAGTATTTGTGTAGGCAGAAGCTCTAAATTATGCCATTTTCTGTTGTTACATTCTCACTTCACATAGCGTTGCTGGTGACCAATTAGCAACTGTTCAAACTGTCCTTTCCCTGTCAAAAAAATATGTATCCATTTGTTCAGCTGTTGTGTGCATTGTTGTATTTCTCCACCAAAGCTCTTGCTGTTACACAAACAACCACATGCTAATATATTGGCTGAGTATACGTACATTGGATCTGATCAAGCGTTTGCAGCGGATACTGAGTAGCAGAGAACAGAGGACAAAGCAGAAAACATTTTCTCAGCCAAAACAAGCTGCATTTGTAGAGCTTTCTTTTCTATATCAATGCGAGCGAGGCTCAAATCACATTCGCATCAACAGTAATGTGAGAAAAACTGTCTTTAAATAAATGACTTGTGAAAATGTCAGTTACATCCAGAACAGCCTGACATAAAGCAGGCAGAAGGAGAGGCATTTAACAAACAAAACAAGCGCAGTGCAGCACAAGATGCAAGAGACAAGACAAATTACTTGGCGTGATGGTCGGTAATGGAGGTCTTGGCTTGTGGTAACCAAAGCTTGACTTGGGTTAAAGATATTAGTCTGATCAGGCAAGTCTCATTCTACTGAAACTCGGCTTTGTATTGTTTTGCAACCAGCTCCATCTGGAAATGAAGATTGTCGTCATTATTAATTCATTTATCTGTTAATTTTTTACTCTACAAAATGTCATGAGTAGCAAAAAATAGCCTTCACAGTCTTATTTTGTGTGACACTGACTCTAAAACCCAGACTTAGCTTGTTAACACCAAACAAAAAGAAACTGCCCAACTGAGAGGCTGGAACTGGATTTTTATACAACCTTAAAATGAATTAATCAACTGATTGTTCCAGCATTGATTCAGACCCGGTTTTCCTGCACCACAGTGGTCAGACGCTAACGCAAAGTGATACAAGTGAACACTGAAAAAAAACTAATCATCTTGCAGATTTTCTTCGCTGGAATCAGACTGTTTACACCTTGATTTCTTCCAGCGAGATATAAATTGCACAGAACAAGACGTGGCACAGGAGACAATGACCTCTTACTGGGAGTGAAAATTAGGTATTTGTATTGCCACATTGAATCTCTCCACCTGAAGGAGGCACTGAGAAAATGTGTGAGCGTTCCAGATCAGAGCAAACAGGGATGTTTGTGCTCCAGTCAGTTCAGCTCCCCTTTATCAGAAGACGATCAAGAGGATCATGGGTAGTGATACATCTGACCACAGCTCGAGCAGAATCAGAGATAGTTCCGTGGATTTTGCAGTTACCGTGCATTTCATCAGCACTATCACGCTCATTTGACTTATGAGGTTGAAGATGTAAGAGGCGTG